TTCCCTCGTTATCCCTCTGTGTATTTGAGCCCTGTGTTTCTCTTTGTCAGTGTCGTAGTCTCCCTCATGGCTGTGTTTCCTGTGTGTTAGTCATCCATGTCCCAGTTTAGTTTTCCACGCCATTCTGCAATAAAGCAGCTTTTTGAGTTTAATTTCGTTGTCGTGAGTTTTGCGTTTGGGTCCTTCTCCTGCCTGTACACAGCCGAAACATGACAGGTTGATTGGCCTTAATGTGACCACATTCTCTGCAACATTGTTGTTTTGCTTTAACTTGAGTTTATTATCGAGGCTGAGAGCTGAAACTGGTCGACTCACAGTAATCTTCTGGAATCACAGAGATGACGTCTTCGCTCCACGAGGGAACAGTAAAGACCAGATTTCCTGTTCATAGACTTTATGCCGCTCGTCTGGGAGGCCGTCACTCCTTCTCCTGTTTGCCTTCAGGTTGCTAGCAGCGTTGTCCAGTTCATTCTTGCTTGTTGCAGATGTTAAAGCTTGGCTCAGGTTTGTGTCTACGGTTGGAAGGTCTAATTTCAGCAAATAGCTTTGGATTATTGTCACATATGAATGAGTTGGAGTGGACAGCATCTCATAGCAACTTTTAAAGATAGTTTGAATCGTCTCTGAGTCCAGTGTTAATTTATTAGCAGATGAGTCTCTAATTTTATACATTGAGTGTTTAATTCTTTGTGCTCTAAGAATTTTTATTGCCTTTGATCCTGATTCATAAAACGTCTGTTTCGTGAATCCCATTTTCTGTTCCAGTTCTTCACGGCTTTCTGTGCTGATTTGTTTCTTATAGTCCCTCACTATGGTCTGTTTGGTGTTGCCTTTCTAGTTCCCTCAACTGGAGTGAGGCTACGGCTCATTACAGCCTTAACTGTATCCCAGACTATTGCAGCTGCCACCTCATCATCTTTGTTTAAATGAACACACTCTTGAATTTCTCTCTTTATTTCTTGAACTATTGTTGTTTTGTTCAAAAAATGTTCAGTCTCCATT